CTGAACCAGTCATCTTGCTGCTATTTGGGTATTTATCCCTCAACCCATTTCCCTGATCTCGTTAGCAATACGATCATATAATATATGAAACGTCCAAGTCTATACGGCGTCAAAAAACTGTCATGCCTTAAATTTAAGGATATACCATTCACTTCCAAACTTCTCTCAGTATTAAACTATCTTTTGTTCAACCCTCCTTGGTCCATATAGGTACTTTTATGGATTTTCGCTACCTATGGCCAAACTATTTAAGACAAGACTATTGCCTTTTTTAAACAATGGGAGTGATACTAACTTTATCTCTAAGGACTGTATTCGGTATTCCTAATTATATTGTAGTATAACCATTATCTGCAATTAACTCCGTCGTATTCCTTGTCTTTAACCGCTTTGAAATCCCACAAAAGAGTGCTTATATTTTAAGGATTTGACTACTGTTTATCTGTACTTCTAGGAGTCCCATAATATTTTTTGTCCATATGGGTTCGAAATGTGAATTGTCGGGGTACGAATGTCAGCACTCAGCAGATAATCATTTTATGTTGCGTTAGAGTTTCTCGTTCCGTTTTGAAAGATTGTATGCGTGGTAGCACATGCAAGCAATTTACGATAAGATTCAATAACAATTTACGAATGGATTAAGTTTGTATTTGGTTTCATGTGGATTTTTGGAATCATGTTAAAATATCAGTTAACGAATAGGTATATCTTTTATATGTTTGGTTTTATGTGTTGGTATTTTAATTTATGTTTTATTTTATGTTGAAGAATTGTTTCTAAGTCCAAAATTATTGAGTTGAAACAACCTTTGACAATTTGTGTTGGATAAAGAATTGTATACCAAATTTTACTACTAGTTTTTATAATAAAAAAATATTCAAGTATAAATCACATTATTTCATAATCAATTTCAACTAAAATCAATTTTGCAATTTCAACCAAAATTTACTTTACAAATTCAATTTCATTCAAAATCAATTTTCAATTATTAATCATTCAAACACACACCAACTGGAGTAAATTACTCTTGGGATTTCAACTAAGAAATCTTGGATCTACAAACACCTTGTTGGCCTAACTTTGGGGCATTGCCACTGCCTTGGATGTTTCATGGTCAAAAGATGTTAGAAGTCTGTGGATTGAATATGATTCTTTTGTGGCTGTGAAATTAGTAGAGCAAGGGTGCCATGACCAACATCCTTTTGGAGTATGGTTGAAACTTGAGACTGTAAGGAAACGGAGGAATCACTCTTTGGAGGAACTTTGTAATGTATCTCATGCTTATAGACAAGCAAATGACGTGGCGGACATTGCTAATATGCCTCATAGTCTCCAGCTTGGAATTCACGTTCTTGATTGTCCCCCAAATGCATGTTTTTTGCTTCTTCTAAACGGGGCTGTGCCTTTGCCTTGTCCTTTTAACTATTACTTTTGTTTTAGAAAACGATCCGCGGACAATAAGCTATTTAATATCTAGCGAGAGAAAGAGATTGAAAGGACTGAAGCACAAGAATGATACAAGTTTTGATGTGGTATGAATGAAAAATATAAATAATAATAATAATAATAATAAGTGTTAATGAAATATTTGGAATTTTGTGAACAGGTCTAGCTACCAATCATTACTGTTTTGTTTTTTTTGCCTTAGGCCCTTCATATATGATAAAAAAAAGGACACAAATTACGAATGCATACAATAAAAGAGTACATGCCTATCATTTCCATAACTCGGTCATACAGGGTTGAAGGACCGGAAAGAAACTAGGCTCAACCATTTTATCTTGTTAACAGATAGTATTAATTTATCCTCAGAAGAAATTTGACACTTTTAGAAAATGAAAGTATATTGATTATTTAAAAGAATAGTATAACATGATACAGTTATTTATATAGTTGCTAAAGAGTTCAATAGAAACTACTTCACAAACTTGACACCCATTAGTCAGAAATAAATCTAACTAACAAAACAACACATGTCAATTAGATAATAATGACTGAGAACAGATTCTATAACAAACTCAAACAACTAACCAACTAATTACAACAATAGCAATAGTTACATATACACGAAGAAAGAAGAAAGAAATAGAGTAAAAGTTTATACCCTAATACCCCCTTGCAAGCTTAGTAGGGGGAGATATGTGCACATCTATCACTCTTAGCTTGGACCTCAAATGCTGAAATTGAGTGGGAGAGAGAGCCTCTCAATGAGAATATTTGCCTATTGATTAGATGTAGGAACATGGAGAACTTCTAGTTGTTTATTCAGAACCTTTTCTTGGACAAAAAATAGGTCAAGCTCCATATGTTTAGTACGAGCATGCATAATAGGGGATTATCACAAAAAAACTTTAAGAGTAGAATGAGAGACACATAGTTCTTGAAGAAGATTTGAATCTAGAGAGTTTTAGAGGTGGCAAGAGCTAGGCTTTTGTATTCAACCTCAGTACTTGATTTAGCAACAACAATTTGCTTCTTAGACCACCAAGATACAAGGATAGGCCCAAGAAATAAAGCAACACCTGAAGTGGATCTCCTATCATCTGAGTTAGAATCGCAACACCTGAAGTGGATCTCCTATCATCTGAGTTAGAATCCCAATCCGCATCACAATATGCTTGCAAAAGCAAAGAAGAATTGAGAGTAATAAGACTAATACAAAGTCTCTAGGAAATTGTTCCTTTAAGATATCATAGGATACATTTTACTGCAAGCCAGTGTTGTTCAAGGGTTGAGCCATAAATTGGCAAACCTTGTTCATCAAATAACCAATTTCAAGGTGAATGATTGAGGCATATTATAGAGCACCAACAAGAGATATGTAATATGCGGGGTCTTTGAAATAATTTGATCTTGTCTTTATAAGTTTGCAATACCACCAACCACATGGATGAAGAAATAGGATTTGCCTCATGCATCTTGGTCCTATGGAGAAGATCTCAAATGTATTTACTCTAAGTGAGAGTCAAAGAGACATTTGACTTCAATTCCAAGAAATTAATAAGGATTTTCAAGATCCTTGAAAGAGAGAAAAAATTGAGTTTATTAATAAGATTCCTAATAAAACTACAGTTGCTGCTGATTATAATTATGTCATCCACATAAACAAAAATGTAAACAATAAACATAGGTGAAAAATAAACAAATAATGATGGATCACACTTCTTGTCTTGAAAACCAAAATGTAGTAGAGTGTGTTTGAGTATATCAAACCAAGCCCAAGGTAAATGTTTTAAATCATAGATGGCTTTGTTGAGTATACAAACTAGTTTCTTATCATTGGATTCAAACCCGGTTGAGCCATGTAAACTTGTTCTTCAAGTAACCCATTAAGAAAGACATTATTGTTAAGCTATTTAATCAACCAATATTTAACACAGCTAAGGTTAAAATAATACAAACAATATAATTACTAGTTTAATAACAAGAGAAGAGGTTTCATTATAGTCAGACCTAGGGGTTTGATGAAATCCTTTAGTAACCAATATAACTTTATGTTTATTTACAGAACCATCATAATTTTCTTTAACTCTAAAAACCCATTTGCATCCAATAATATTTTTGTTGGATGGTGGTGAAACCAAGGTCTAGGTATTGTTCCTTAACAAGGCTTCATATTCAACTTTCATAACATTAAACAAGACAGGATTGGCTAAGGCTTACTTTGTTGAAGTTGGTTCAATGTGAGTTAAGAAGAATTGTGGTTGAAGTTTTGAACAAGATATTCTAAATTTAACTCTAGTCTGCTTAGGGTGAGTGTTGGAAGGAAGACGAGTTGAGGAAGCGGATGAATATGTGGTCAATGGTAGTATTTTGATGTGTTGGATGATATATCTGTTTCAGAGTGAGATATAGAAATAAGAGGAGTAGATGTGATGACTGGAAGTGGTGAAGAGGAAGAATTAAAAAGGTTGAGCTTGAGTAAGAGTAAGAGAGATATACATAAATAGATGTAGTTTCTTGTGGATAAGATGTAGGTGCAGTTTGAGTTTGATATGGAAATTTTTGCTCATTAAACACATCTCTAGATATATGACCTTGTCATCATTAGACAAAAATTTGTAACCTCTATGAGTAGTAGAATAGCCTAAGAAAACACATTCTTGAGATCTGTATTGAAGTTTATTTCTCTTATATGGTATGAGAAAAGTAAAGCAAGCACAGCTAAAAACTTTAAGTTGTTTAAAATCAACAAACTTCCAAAGTTTCACAATATCCCAAATCATTTTCAATTCATGATACATTCTGGTATTTTACATACATCATACATGCAACCTAACCCGCAATTTCTTCCACGTAATTATCACACCTTTGATCGTTGGAATTCAACACAGCGCGAACCAAACTATATATGTTAACGAGAAGAGAAATTACCACATGATTAGAACTATCATATACAGTCTTGGATAACCACCACGTTACACATAATAGAGTTTTATTAACTCTTTCTCACAAAGTTCACACTCAATTATATTACCTGTCACATGATCATGCATCAACACTCGGTAGTTCATAACCATGTAATAACTTCTCTTCCACAAACATTGATTTACAAAACTATTCTGCTGCACTTCTCAACCGAATGAACGACGTGGTGAGAAGATGCGAAGAGGCGAGAGCATCCCCATGAATCCTGGCGAAGCAAGACCATTGATATTCTGTTGCTTAAGCATGTTGTAACCCACATGTTCAGGTCGTTTATTCCCACTTCCCATTTCCTTATTGAAGGTGCCACACTTCACCATCTTCCCAATCCACCACCTTTTCTTTTTCGGGGTTTCATGGCTCGTGTTGATCTTATGATGCATGTACTCCATCACCACATGCAGCCCCTGCTCCACCACCTCCATTGGGGGACACGTAAGAGGGTTCCCTTCAACACTCAGTTTCTGAAGCTTCTTGAGGCAGCTTATGGACTCAGGCAAGGTCTTGATCTTGTTGTAGCTCACATCAAGTTCAACAAGGGACAAGAGGAGCCCTATGGAGTAAGGGAGGGTCTCCAAGTACTGGAAGTTCTGGCTCACGTTAAGGGTCTCAAGGTTGATGAGATTCTCGAGATCCTCTGGGAGTGCCCTTAGGCAATTCAAGCGTGCATCGAGAACTTTCAGAGATGTTAGGTGTGAGGTGGAGCTTGGAAGAAACATTAGCTTGTTGGAGTTCACTGAGAGCTTCTTTAGGTTTATGAGTTCAAACCCTATTGTGTCTGGCAGCATGGTAAGCTTGTTGAAGTTTGCATTCAGTTCCTCTAAGGCTCTGCTGGGTCAAAATCATAGTACACATGCATGTTAAGAATAATGAACCATGTCATACGTACATGAATAATGATAATTTGATTACAATTAATCTTATTTTGTTTCTTGCACGATTCTAATTATGTCGTATCATTTTGATTTGCAAGAAATTACGATGTATTTGATTTAGTGATGTAATACTTGGAATGGCTTATTACATGCATGTTGAATTAGAATGGAAAAATTGGGTGATTGAAGAATTAAAATAATTAATTAAATGGAGATTATTCGTATGATTACATTTCGTTGCCGTCATTTGACCTGTATTATTGATTTATTATTATTTTATGATTGATGTGCCTTTTGACACTGCAAAAGGTTGAGATTTATCATCAATAGCCGAAGCCTCCTCGAACCTTTAATTCCTTATTAGTAGAATCAAATTAAATGAATAAAAGAAATCAATCAACTTAAGTACCCGGTACATGCCAAATTTCAAATTTGTTTTATTCAAAGTGCACCTACCTTCGATTATGATATACAAACCAAAATATAACTACGATAACGACAAATATTATGAGGGTTTTTTTTTTTTTTTTTCAAACAGTAACCTCAATTTGTGATGGCAGCCTACGATGCTTATTTTCCCTATATTGTGTGACTGATTTTTCTTGTTTTTTATTCAGAAGGAAACTGTATGATCGAGTTGCTATCATTGTTTGCATAATTCCCTATCTTAATTTGTTTAATAATCTATTAGAATATCATTTATTAAGGTTTCGAATCTAAACATGATGTAGGATTTGCTGACTTTCGTACGGGATTTGAGGCCGTATAGTACCAAAAGAAAAATGAAGAACGGAAACGTACGTTGTCCACTAGCGTTTTGGTCAATGATAACCTAGAACGAGAGGAAGCAGAGGGAACCATCGATAATTCAGGCTAAAAAAGTTGAAAATAAAATAAAAGTTTTTAAAAAATGGTCAGTGTTTGATTTCGTGAGGTTTACGTATAAAAGTACATTTTCATGGTTATATTTTTTATTCAATTTTTCATAGTTATCTTATTCTTATTTTTATACAACTTATATATATATATATAATTTTTTTTCTAACATTTTATATTACATCCCGAATTAATTTTATCACACATTTCTGTCTCCCCTTCTTATCTCTCCCAATTATTAAAAAAAAAAAAAAAAGTTGTGAAAAAAGGGAGACAAGAATTTCTCTTTAACATAAAGGTTAATTACCCATTAAAGAAAAACACAAGAAATAAATATTATGGACAAAAGGGATTAAATTTTCCGTCCTTAACTTCTTTTTTGGTCTTTTTAATCTCCTTATTTTAATAATAGACAAAAAATAAAAAACAAAATGACAAATTACAGAGAATTTTACCATTTAAATAATAACTTGTTATGATTTACTTATTAGAGCTATACGAATATAGATTATAACACAAAAATTAAGATAGTATATTTGAATGGAGTAACATTGACCAGCTATTTTCTTCGATACCATTTAGCTTCATTAATTAAATGAGTATAAGATATTATAAAAAATTTCTTTTTGTATAAAGTCATATAATAAAAGAGAGTAACATACAGCTAAAACATTTTAACATAAATATTAGCCTATGCCGGCCGAAAATAGATTAGAAATTTTTTTGACATAAATATTAGCTGTACAGGTTTAATTTATAGAAGACTACATATATGCAAATTAATAGGACTTCATTATATTATTTAATTAATAGAAAAATTGAAAGAAAAGTGATGAAAACGAACCTGCAATTCTCGATGGTTTTGGGGAGTATTTGGATGAAGTTGCCTGAGACATTCAAAACCTTGAGCTTAGAGAGGCAGCCAATGGAATTGGGAAGAGACTTGAGCTGGTTGGAACGCACGTCCAACACCTCCAAGTTTAGTAGTCTCGCTGTTAAGGATTCTGGAATGTCCTGTGTCAGAGTCAAATATTTTTATGTAGGATTGATATAATTAATAAAACACATATAATCAATTTAGAGGAGAAATGGAGAATGATAAGTGGGGAAATAATATGCTCATCATGATTATTGTTAAGATTCAAATATAAATAATTTTTAGGAAAAACTGATTTTTGACAAATAAAATGATATTGTTTAATCCATAAAATGTTTCTTCTTCGTCTATAATCAAGTATTCATTCATTTACACGATACCCTTCAAAAACTCATTTTTGCACTGCATCATTTAATTAAGAAGGAAAAAGAAACATGGGATAAGTGAATTTATAATTGGATGTAGTTATCCCATGTTAAATTTTTTAGGTCACTAATTCACGTCTCTGTCTTGCTCATGTTTCAGTTATAATGTTATATCCAAGTTGACATATATTAACTGTAAATATTAAGACAAAACATATAACAGTCAGATTGAAATTGAAGTTCTACAGAATCTCATTAATACACATTTAAGTATATTAACAAAGTAAAATTTTAATTTTAATTAAAAATAACCAACTAGTTCTTGAGTTTTGTCAAATCGAGAGAAATAGAGTTAATAATTCATGAGTCGCATATACTTCGTCTAAGCTCATTACCTCAGCAGAATATGCTTGGTTTTGGGATGAATATTTTGCAGAGTTGAGATAATATATTATCTAAACAACGCAAGTCTACATGTATATATATATTAAATAAAATAAATCTGTGTTCCGGAAATCTTGATGAAAATCTGGAAACATATGAGCATGAAATTATGTACCTGGAGATTGTTATTAGATAGGTCCAACTTGCAAATGGTAGCTAAGTCGAGGGAAGGTTTGGGAAGAGAGTCCAAGGACATGCCACTTAAATCCATTACTTGAAGCCTCTCTTTCTCCATGGATTTGGTTTTCTCCCTCTTCCTCATGTCCATCTTCACCACCATGGGCTGAAGATGAACCGGTTGTAATTGGAACATATCCATAATTTTGGCAATGACTTTATGGTATGATGATCTCCCTTTGTTTTCTTGTTTTATGACTTTTGGGGACGTAGGGATGTTGAAAAGAGAGAGGGGTGATGGTGAGAGAAGATGAAGGATGTGAAAGGAGAGAGGGATTATATAGTGTGTAAAGGGATAGCTGAGAAAGGAATAGAAGAATTTTGTTGGTGAGGGTAGTGTGTGTAAGCACACAATTAAGACACAATATTTATGGTGAAGGAGAAGACGTACGGATGAAGAGGAGTGACGTGTGGAAGTACAAGAGCCGTAGGGTCAAATGTTGCGAGCAAAGCCACGATACCCACTTCATTACCACCACCCCCTCTTTTATATTTTAATTAACATATTAAGGTTTTTAAGTTTTTATTTAAATACTTTCTCTAAACTTGTGTATAAACAACACATAAAAAAATAGTTAAATATATTTAATATTTAATTGAAACGTGTTTATATTTAAGATAAAAAGATTAATACTTTTTTTTTTACTGATATATAAGTCTAGAGGGAGTATTGAATTACAATAAGTTCAAACACTCATTTTATTTTTTAATTTTCGTCTTATTAAATTGTCATATAAATATTCTAACAAAAAAATTGTGATATAAATATAATTAAAAGAATTCTATTTATAAATTAAAGATATAAAAGCCTTTATACCAATATCTAATCATAATTAAAAGTGGAGATAGAATAAATTTTGGTGTTATTATTGTAATTATGATGATTAAAAAAAATCTTCATGTATAATATATATATATAATAATAAATTATTAAAAATTATATCTAAGATTATTTTTATTTGGTTGATAATATAATCTTTTTTATCATTGGAATTTGAAGATTAAAAATAATTAAAAAAATTAATTTTATGTAATTATACTTTAAAGTCATATTTACAATAATTAATAATCAATTAATAACATATTTTCTCGACATTAATTTTTTATAATATTTTATAATAAATAAAATAATCAATTTTTCTTGATAAAAATATTATAATAAAAATAAAATTATAAGAAAATTTAATATATTTTCAAATATTTAAAAGCATTTATTAATATATATAAGTTTTTCTTAATTAATGTCCTCAAAGTATAAATTAAAAGTACCTTAACATTAGTTATTATATTGTAAACAAATAAAACAAAACATTATACCTAAATGTAACTATTGAAATCTTAATTAAATGGTGATAGTTCACGACTAGAATAATAATGATTTTTTTTTTTCATATTGTTAGTTCACTATAATTAACTCAATGAAAAATAATAGTTCAAATTATCTTAAACTTTTAAAACGATAGACAGAAATAAAAATTTCCTTGAAAATAACATATAAAAAGAAATTGAAAGAATTAAGACAATAAAAAAACATTTTTTCTAAAATAACTATCAGTATTTAAAAATTGATCGAATATGTCTTTGCATTCAAGCCGCACTAATTTAAAATAAAGGCAAAATATTATTGTTTTTAGTAGTTTTTATTGAATTTGATATGTTTCCATATATAAATATAAACCAAATTAGCTTAAATAGAATATAATTGAATATTATATATATTACTTATTTATACAATATTTTAGTATTATTATTATGATACTTTTAACTTAAATTGACGAAAATTTATTATCAATATTAATTGATGATGGTTTTATCACGAACTTTTTTTTTACATATATATTATCGTATAGTAAAAAAGTAAAGTCAAATATGAATTTATTTAGCTTATAAATATTTCAAAAGTTTGACTTAATTAACTTGATTCCATCAAACTTCAATCAAATATGTTTTTCTCGAGTAAACTCAAATAGTTATTTCATTTAAAATTATCATCTTTAATTTAGATTGATTTGGATTTGTATTTGACTCTAACCTATAAAATATACCAAAACAAATTGGTACATCGTTTTTATGCTCACGTACACCTGAGAAAATTATGCTCCAGAATTTGTCAAATACTAAATACCAATACATTTCTTAATAGAATTTGAAATCTAATTGGTATAACATTATGACATCAAAATTACCTTATAATGACTGCGTTATATTTGTCTCATATACATGCAAACAGACTTGTGTATTTTTCACAAGGTATCATTATAAAAAATATCAGTGGTGACAAACTCACTTAAAAATATTCTAAGCAGGCTCATTTTATAATGAAAAGAAGTGTTTATTCATATTATTAATAATTGAAAAATAAAAAATAATTATAGAGTTGAAAAGGGCACTTCTGATCTGTCTCCCACTGCCGCGAATATTGGGCTGCTTGTGATTTCTGTTGAGTTTACATAATAAACAATACAATGGAATATTCTACTAACAACATAGTCATAAATGACTTAAGTTTTGTACCAAAATTTTACCTTTTATTATAATTCTTTTCATAAATAAGTTAATATATTATAATTATTATTGGATAGCGATTCAAATATTATATGTTTTTATTTTAATCGTTTTTTACGTTCCTCAGTTGGACCAAATCAAACCTAGTTGCTACGTTCTTATGCATCAGTCTCTAGAACGATTAACATTTTGCAGTATTATTTGGAAAATAATCGATGAACACCGTGTGAGTGTGACAAATATATATATATATATATATAGTCCAAAAAAATAAAAAAAATAAAAAACTTAAGAACGAATTTTAAGGTGATTTTTATTAAAGTCAATAAAATTATACAATTTTTACTGAACGAGATAATGTAAAAACACTTTATTTTTTCATTGCATGTGCTACTTTATATATAAAAATGACTATATATTATTAGTTTTATTAGGTAATTTCAAATATACTATATATACTAAAGTATACGAGAAAAATTACACATAACAAATGCTTTAGTTATTGAATAAATTTGTATCTTGTGTTGTTTAATGAATAATTACTAATACAAATAAAATAATATTAAATATGTGACACCTTTACTACCTGATCTCATATATTGTAATAATGTAAATAAACTAAGGAAATAAAATTTCTACACATCGGTAAAAGGGTTCACATAAAAACCTTTAGAAACATTCTTCAATATATAAAATATTTTGAAAATGAAACTTGGAAAATTAAACATAAGAGGTTACAAAATGTTTTCAAAATAATAGGTTCAACTCCATATACAAATACAATTCATGTCCTAGAAATCCTCTGCCCCGATGTCACAATATCAGAGCATACCCAAAAATCAACTGTTGACATCCTAGATGCCACTCAAAGTCAGATCTTTCTCACTTAAAACATCCACAAATTGTACAGTGAGAAAAGAAAACATCTATATGTAAAACACATAAGAAAAACACAACATAATCTCATCATTATTCATTAATATATGAAATATTCACAAGCATTTATCATAATTAACAATCATTTATCATCTGCCCCGATGTCACAATATCAGAGCATACCCAAAAATCAACTGTTGGCATCCTAGATGCCACTCAAAGTCATATCTTTCTCACCGAAAACATCCACAAATTGTACGGTGAGAAAAAAAAACATCTATATGTAAAACACATAAGAAAAACACAACATAATCTCATCATTATTCATTACTTAATGAAATATTCACAAGCATTTATCATAATTAACAATCATTTATCATAATTAACAATCATTTATCATCTTCACATCTCAATCCACAATTTCATCAATTCATCACAATCCACACAAATCTTACAATTAACATTATGTCAAGGCCACGCCACAACTGACACAAGTGATACGAGTTAATTGTCTCACTCATCCCACACCACGCCAGAGTCACGCTCTCCCTGTAGCATCACTTACCCAGGGGCCATGCCATCCCTGGTCATTGATGTGAGGAACAACAATCACATCACAATCCACACAATCTCTTGCAATTAACCCTATGCCAGGGCTGCCATATTTGACATAAGTGATACGTGTCAATTGTCTCACTCATCCCACACCATGTCAAGGTTACGCCCTCCCTGTAGCATCACTTACCTAGGGGCCATGTCATCCCTAGTCATTGATGTGAGGAACCACAATCACAATCATAATCACATCCATACAACATCTCATCTCATAGCTCAATTCCATATCACATACACAATTCCATATACACAACAGATAAGTCCAACAAATTAAGGATTTACACACTCCTCAAGCAATTCACATCTAGATTATCAATTCTTATCAAGTAATATAACAATAACATTCATAAATTGATATAATAATCGATGGAATTACCAATTTAATATAATTTTAACATAACGGTAAAACCCCAATTATTCCAAAACCTAACTCACAAGCACTTTTCTACAATTTCGTTCTCTCTCCCAGATCATCATTCTTACAAATTAAATATATATTTTTAATCCTCAACACATACAGAATCTAATGGGATCATCAATTCCTCAAATAGAAATAATCCAATTTTTCCAAAACCTAGCTTACAGGCACTTTTCTATAATTTCGTTCTCTCTCCCATTCTTACAAATTAAATATATATTTTTAATCCTCAACACATACAGAATCTAATGGGATCATCAATTCCTCAAATAGAAATAATCCAATTTTTCCAAAACCTAGCTTACAGGCACTTTTCTATAATTTCGTTATTTCTCCCAAATCATCATTCTTACAAATTAAATATATACTTCTAATCCTCAATACATGTAAAATCTAATGGGATCAACAATTCCTCAAACAGATATAATTATAAAATTACTCAAAATCTTAAGGGACTCTTCATCTACCCAATTCCCTCATGTAACTCTACATACAAATAATCCCCTTTTCCCCTGTACCTTGATATGTAGAAGTTGAACCTACACAAGATCTGGTTGGTCTCCCTCGCTAGGTTCCCCTCGGTCTGAAGCAGAAAGTAGAGGGAAAGAAGAGAGAGCAGAAGAAAAGAAATCAGTGTGCTTTTTGGGAGTGGCAGAGAGCTCAATTTATAGGCATCAGGCTTCACCGGAACGGCCTGTTCCAAATCCATAACTGCCCGTTCTGGACCCTTAAATCACGACAAAAAATCACATCCAGAACGGCCCGTTCTAGGGTGCATTTAATACTCACAACGGTCATATTTTGGAATGGTCCGTTCTCAACTCTGAAACGGCCTGTTCTCAATTAAGAATCATAGGCAAAGATAATGGTTTGGAACGGCCCGTTCCAAATACGGAACGTCCTGTTCCGGGCTAC